GGTGGTGGTAGAGATGGAGATGGAGGCAGAGGTGGTGGAGAAGGAGATGTAGGTGGTGGAGGTGATGGTGGAGATGGAATCAGCAGCTGTTAATGCTGTCAATATTTTTCATCTTGTCTCTGGTAGTGCTATGCTAATGTTGTCATTGTCATCTTTGTCGGTATAGCAGTAGTAGTACTAATAGTCATATGATAACAGTTAAGGTAATAAAAAAAGTAACACAAACAGCAATAGCACACAGTTAGTAGTACATAATAAATGAAGTAGTAATGATAGCAGCACAGTGGTATTGCTGGTACATGTTATTTTTTCACTGTTGTAGATATCAGTATCATTCACTGTTAAAATCATTGCGAATGTTTTTGCTAGTGGTTTTCATTACTTTGACTATGACTATTCATATCACCAATGGTAGTAGAAGTTGCAGTAATGCGTCTTGGCAGTTACAGCTCACTACTATTAATCATCATATTGTCATTTCTGTCACTACTGACCTTACTACAGACTACTGCTGTTATTTTTGTAAAGAACATACCTATAATTCTTTACTTTATGATTCTTCTCATCAATAATGTCACTGCAGTTGTTCTATTATTGTTATTACCATTGCAGTAGAAGTAACTGTTAAAAGTCAGCAAAAATATTACATGTTCTAGTATATCTATGACTTTATATATACCACATTCCATGGTTTTACAGCAGAGCAAATACTATAACGCTGCCAAGCAACTTTACAGATATACAGATTACAAAATAGCGAAGTGTCCTAAAGCAGAGAAATTAGAATTAATGATAAGAAGCAGCATTACCCACAAAATTAAAACATCAATTCATTATGTTTGTAAAAAATAATAAAAGTTACAATTATAGTATATAATCTTTCAAAACTGAAGACTAAAACTGTTGCTTCCTATAACATGTACATTTCCATTGTCTTGGACCCTACACTTCTATTTGTTTTGTTTTTTTATTCTTTCTTTCTTTCTTTCTTTTTCCATTGACCTCTTGACAAGTATCCCAAGTTCAGTATTTGTAGTATCAATGGTATATAATAGTAAAAATAGCAATAACAAAATAATAGCATAAAATCTTAATACTTGTTATGAAAATAATGGTACTGGTAGTGACACTAAAATTAACCCCCCCCCAAAAAAAATTACAATAATGATAATAAGATAGATGGTGATGATGATAATAGTGATGGTGTTTCGTATCATCAATGATAATGATAATGACAAAGACGATAACAATGGTGATATTGATGATGATGATGATGATGATGATGATGATGATGATGATGATGATGATGATGATGATGATGATGATGATGATGATGATGATGATGATGATGATGATGATGATGAATAATATAATAATAATAATAATAATAATAATAATAATAATAATAATAATAATAATAATAATAATGATAATGATAATGATAATGATAATGATGATGATGATGATGATGATGATGATGATGATGATGATGATGATGATGATGATGATGATGATGATGATACTCATAAGAAGAATCATGATAATCATGATAATCATAATAATCATAATAATCAAAATAATCATAATAATCATAAAAATAATAATGATGATAACAACAACAAACATCAAAAATGATAACAACAGCATTAATAATAATAATAATAACTACAGCAACATAAAAGTCATGAATGATAGTGAGAAAACAAATCATACTCATGATGAGGGCAAATAAACAATTCACCTAATAATAATAATAACACTAATAAAAAAAACATCAACTTTCACCAGCCATGTTAGTACATCTATTACATACAAAAAGTTTATTTAATCACAAAGAACAAATTAATTTCGTTTTTTGGAAAACATTGATCAAAAGCTAAAATCATTGTGCCAGGATAACAATAATTTATCATTTAATATGCCAATAAATTTATCCATAATTCTCTAGCAAGAGGTTTGTAGTTTTGATGTTCATTTCCTGCAGACAACTTTGATTCAAATAAGGAAATAAGGATTCCCTTTACCTATCTTTAATTCCCTATCACTATCTGCCATGACCATCTTTGAGCAAAGGTCATAAAAAGGCCCACACTATAAAAATTTCTAAAGGGGGAAGGGTGGGAAGGAAATTAGTTTATAACACCCATACAATTAAGCTTGATTTCTTTCTTAGGAGGAAGCTGGCAGGAATCAGATACTGTTTTTGTAAAGAGTGGTGAGGTAGGTTAAGAAGCTAAAGGAAAAAAAATAAATAAATAAACATTCTGCTCATCTTATACCTCTGTACTTGCTGGACAGTGGGCCATACGAATGCTCGTCCACCAGGGACCAAAAGAGGCTTTTTGTGGCAACATCCTGTAACATAAACACACATCTGTCATTTCCCCAAACTACAAGAAGGGTGTCAGTGTGACAGTTGTGTATATAAATGCTGCAGGAACTCCCACATCTTAACACAGAAGAAAAAGCCACATAGAACTCTTATAGAAGTTTCCTTTCCCTGTAGCACACCACTGCACTGTATGTACATTACATCCACACATGGTGTTCCATATACAATAGGTGGAAAGACAACTGAGATCTATATAACAATCCTCTGGGAAGAAGAAAAAAGTTGAAGTCACTCCTTCCTCCAAATTCTGTTGATGTTACTGTAAATGGTAACATTAACTTGAAGAATTGCTAATGTCCACACATTCAGAAACACCCTTCCCAAATCATTATACAGAACTGCAGGATATGTTTCTTATAAGATATTTTAGGAAAATAGGAAAAAGTGCAAGAACAATTGAAGATAAAGAGGAATAAGAGACAGCAGGAGATGAACAGAAAACATAATAGTCTACTGCTTTCAGTTTCAAAGGCACAAGAGAAATAATGGATAGTGAAGATGACAATGAAATAAAACAAACAAAACATAGTAGTAATAAATAACACACAATTATTTTTCACCATCTTTAAATATAAATATTACAAAAGTAAACCATGTATAATATATTCTTACAAGATACAATGTCAACCTAAAGTTGATTTACTAACTTATGTTCTTTAGAATAGAGATAAATCCCCAGAAAAAAAAATCAAATTATACTCTACATTTCATACTTGCACGCATACAGAATCAAATAAATACCTTTAATTCTTCTTAATAACAACAGAAAGAATTAAATATTTTGAACCCTAACAAGACTACCATATGTGACTTCATGACGAACATATAACCCTCTATCTGTACATCCTTTCTTTCTCATTATGATAATCACTATGCATCGTTGCTTCCTCTCTGGCTATCACCACCTACCAAATGGCTGCCTTTATGAAAAGTCTTTCAACAGGAGTACAGAATACCAATCAGTTTTACATAATTTTGAAAGAAATTATTTAGCTCATGGTTCCTATAAAGCTTCTTCATTCCAATGTCCATACTTAATCAAAACTTTTAAAATCAAACTTTAACACATAAAGTCACTTATTCTGATCAAAAATGATTCATAATAGCTACTATCTTCTGCATAAGTGAAAGTTTATGATATGCTTAGGCAGAAAATAATCTTTGATGCATATAAATGAATCATATCATAAATGTATCTATCCCTATAAATATACAGACAGCCAGATTCAACCATACTTTCAAAGTCATACACACTACAGTAAATTGTGTCTTGACAAAGACAACTAAATAGGAGTAGGGATTACAAAATCTCCTCACACAATTCATCACCGTTAATTAAAAATCTATACTTTATCATTGCATTATGACTATCTGGACTTGTTTAAATGATGTAGGTGTAAATCATCATTCCATGTACTTTCTACATAAATCCTGATCATCTTCAGCTGCTACTTGCTGATAATGATTTTATAAATTATATCACCCTTAACACCTGCTTATGGGACAAAAGAGGTTTCAGATTGAAGAAGAAATGAAATCTAATATCAAAATAATAACTTAACAAAGGAGGTTCCTGTGTGAGTCCCTATTATGGCTGCATTTCCCAATGAAACAATGAATAAGGTGGAGCCCAGAAAGGACAGAGCCTCAAATTAGTAAGATGCGCTCTCTAGAAGCTGGCAACAGGCAGTCGTTTTGTGTTAACTTTGCATCCTAGCAGTAATAAAAAGCAATACAGGAGGATTTTGAGGGATATCACAAACTCTCTAGTTAGACCTCAATTAATAAAAAGGAAACATGAATGAACAAGAACAAAATTAATTTATATTAAAACTGGATTTAAAAACCTAATGTGGAACACCACAGTTGATTATGAAATTGGATCTTACTTTTCCAATAAGCCAGCTTGTATATTTTTGGGGTTTTCACTAGTGATGTCAGCAAAAACTATTTTTACATCCATCAACTAGCATGATTAGTGCACATCCAAGTCTAGAAATGTCCCCTGCTGAGAAGCATGGGATGTAAAACAAAGGAAACTGCAAGTTAGCAGAGACAAAATGACTCAAGCCACACAGAGGATACACAGTAATCTTAATGCCTTCTAGCTGGTGCCTAGTGGACAAGACTAAGGTCTGTCTAGTGCAGCTACAACCAAAGAAAAAGCCAGCAAGAAAACATTCTAATACTAACAGACATAAAAAATTTAAATAATGAAGGAAAGAAAAAACATAGGCAAAGCACTATATTACAGTCATTTGGTGTGCTAAACCAGGTGAAACTCCACAGAGAATCTGTACAAGGATCCAGCCCCTTGTGTAATTCATAGATCTAAAACATCACAGTACCACACAATTCCAATTATGAATATTCAAAAATACTTTTCACATACCACAGAATAGTAGGCAACAGGAAAAGCCACATGAATTAATTTTGTTCTCATACCCCCCAAAAAAAACACTTTGCATGAACTATCGGGGCTCAAAAATAATAGACAACTATGCTCACGCCACAAATCGAAATTGTATTGAGAACTACACGTATATCAATGCCTTGATCACAGACTCTCCTATTTGGCCCACTAGGACTATAGGTTTACCAATAATACCTTTGCATCATTTGTATACATGGCCATACAAATCCACGTCCTCCCACTACCGTCAGAGGTTTTCCTTGGTAACAACATCCTGCAAACAGGCATTTCATGAGGTGACAACTGGATATCCACTAAAATCTGTGTGTGTGAAAATACATGCAGTTGCTTTCCCTGAAAAAGGCACACCTATCATTTCAACACATTAGTGCTCAAATCAAATTATCAAAATAAAAGATTTATTTTTTTCCTTTTTTATAAAAGGATGAACATTCATACTAAGTGATGTGTGGAGTTAAAATATGAATAACTTATCAAACCTGTTTTCTGTAAAAAAAAATAATAATGATAATATCCAATATGAAGGTTAAACTTCTGGATTGTGATTACAAAATGCCAGTTATTCACCTTTCAAAAACTGCAATCATAGCATTCCTATGAAGAGGAACGTGCATTCTTACCTTATTCCACACAAAGTATAAATTGATATGTGGAAAGTCTGAACACATAAAATCATCAAAAGACGATTAGGAAAAAATCTGTAATACAAATTAATATTATTGATCTCATTCACAATAACATCAACAATGCATACCATAATACCACTTTCTGGTAAGATCTGTATATAAGCTTTACTCAGTTTTAACAAATAGAGCTCAGTAATGGAAGAAGGGAGAAAATATCTTGTTACCTATAAGCAACTGCAGGGCAACAGTTGTCGAGTTAGTCATTTTCATTTAGTTGATAAAGCTAATAATTTCAAATGAATGTTTGTAATCAATTTACAAAAATATATACATATCATAACCATATCACTAACCCAAAAGTACTTAATAAAAGATGAGAGGCCTTTCACTAACATGAAATTAATCTCAAACAAGTATCAATTTGTAAATATTTCCCGTTTATCAACAAATTAATATCTAAGGAAATCTGACACTTTATATAAAAGAGGGCATTACAATAATTAACTTTCTACACTATTTATTTCATTTCCATGTCTCCCAATATAAAATACTAATTCCAAACTTTCATGTCTACAGGGAAGTAATGAAGATTCATTTGGAAACCTAACCAAACCAAAGGCAGTGCTTAAAATCCACTACAATTTGACTTAAAAATAACTTCATCATTAATGAACATCTCATTCTCAAATGTATAACCTCTAACAACAATATATACACTAGGAATATTCACAAGGAAAAACCCAATTTCCTGTCAAGTCATTTCCTCTGTCAATGTCTGAGTAAGCTATTCTCAGGGTTAAGTTTTTTCTGCCACCTTCCATCACCTGATCAATACTACTTTTCAATCATTTATACATTTATATATAAAAAATCTATGTTGTCAATCACCTCTTCAATACGCTCTACTCTGTTGATCTCCATGGTAATTCTTTACAGTACGGACACACTCACCAGAGACTACTGGTCGTATGCTTAAAGAAATTGTAGAATCCACTCTTAGCAGTGCAAAAGCTTCATCTGAGGCATAATACCGAAAAAAATCAACAGGTATACCAAACATGACAAGAACATTGAATTTTTGAAACTGACAGTCCTAAAGTTTCATCAAGACTTCCTAAAATTGTGGACTTAGTCTCTGCGCAGCACATAATGCCGCTAATTTTTTCCATTTAATGGTAAACATGAGGTCACTGCAACATAAACTATGTTCTATCCCACTCTATTTCTTCCGCTCTATAAGATATTGGTGTCCATTTCCCTCTATCTATGCATGACGGTGTCTTAAGTTTATACCCTAATATGCTATTTAGAGAGCAAATTTTGTTTATCCAAGAGTCTTCAAGTTTATCAATAGAATTGTAGTAACAACTTTTAAGGAGAAAATCTGCCCTCAGTTACAAGTAAATATGCTTGGAGTCTGGCCGTCCTTCTGTCTTCTGCTTTGCATTAAACATTGCATGAAATTAATATAAGAGCCAAGAATCTTTGGATAATGTTATTCTTTTACAGTCCTATTGCAAATCCCTTTGGAATGTCACAAGTCTTCAGGGATAATGGAGAAAAAACATCTTCCTTGCTTTTTGTAATTTACTGGAAGTTAAATTACCTCTATGCTGTGAGAAGGTAATAGCTATCAAAATACACTACAGAAAAAGACTATGAATATAAAAAAACTGAATTATTGTTTACACTGGCCATGCTTAATACATAACATTTCTTGAATACTTGAGTTATAAAAAAGATAATAATGCTCAGAAAACAAGCAAATCCATCTTTGCCATCTTATAAATGTTCATCATGTGCTTTTCCATGCAAGAGGGTGGTTCCCTGTCTCTGGAATGAGTGGCATGGCAGGGTAGTCCCTGATAAATGACATGCAAGAGGGTGGGGTTCCCTGTCTCTGGAATGAGTCATTTGGCAATGTTAGGTCAGGTTCAGTTAAATTACTGATAAAGATTTATGTATTACAGAATTTGTATAATGCCAGAATTATCATTAATACAAAGATATGGGTGTGTCATTTAAGGTTCCTTAGTCCCATGTAAATA